CCCAGCCGCTCCGTGGCATGTGAGATCCTCCCGGACTGGGGCACGAACCCGTGTCCCCTGCATCGGCAGGCGGACTGTCAACCACTGTGCCATCAGGGAAGCCCCAACTCCGTATTTCTTAGACCCTTGACAGAGGTGGGCCAGGGTTAGCTGTTGGCTCAGGTGGCTAAAGTAGTGCTTCTGAGGTCTTAGGTTCAATTTCTACATTGACCAGGAAGCTCTGGCCTGCTCCACACCCAGACCATGTCCTCTTACCAACCTGTGCCACTGTCAGTCACAAGGCAGTGACATAGGAGGGGTGAGGTAGAAGGAAATCAGTACAAAATCATCCCATAATTGAAAAAAATGGAAAGACATGAAAGGTTAGTGACACTGTCTCAAAAGATGGCTTGTGAATGAAGATAGTGAGAAGAAAAAAATCCAATTTTACTGTCTGAACAGCTTTGGTAAAAGGGACATCTCACTATGAATAGATTTTAGTTTAAAAACCACCCACTTCCTCCCACCTGTCCCAGATGCCTTACACGTGAACCAGCCCTCGCCTAATAAAGGAGGCCCTGATTCCTCCCACCCAAGACCCACCTCGCCCTTCTCGTTTCGGATGAGTCGATTGAATTCTTTGCCCTCCAAGCACAGAAAGTCATCCCCAGGTGTCACAATGCCACATTTGGTGGCGATGGCCCGGGCTGTGTTGATGTTGTCACCTGTCACCATTCTGACAGTAATACCAGCTCGTTTGCATTTGGCAATAGCTTCCGGCACCTGTGGAGAGTGAGGCAAGAGGAATGGAGGAGGTGGGGGTGGTGAGGCCTGGTAAGCTGCTCCTGTTCAGTTGTCCCTTCATTGTGGACAGCGGAGAGGCACCCTGGAAGCAGAACCATGGGGCATGGGCTAAGTCTGGTCATTTTAATATTGCTTGGTGCCACCTCGCTTCTGTCCTATCCATGATACTCACATTTGAATTTGCCTTATTGTACCTACCATGAGTTGAAGGGGAAATTTGCTTCAGGAGCCAGGTGTAAAAGCTTACTCTCCCACTTACAATCTAGATTTCTTAGCAGGGCACGCCTGGCCTTTTGAGATTTTGCCACTGCCTTCCTTTCTAGCAGAAGTTTTAACCACCTTCCACCCCCCTGGCACATACTCCAACAATATCAATTCTTTTAAGTTTCCCAAATGCATGACACACTGTCATGCCTCTGGGTCTTGATGGCTGATAGTCCATTGGTCTGAACTTCTTAGAAGCAGAGACTTTTTCAATGCCCTACAATTGAGAGTAGTGCTTAGCTATTCTAGGGGTGCTCGACAAGAATGTGTTGCTTGAAAGAAGGTGGCTAGAGACAAAGTTGGTGTTCCAGTTAATTCCATCTCCTGACGATTCTTGAGTACCAAACAATAAGCCCAGTAAAACCTATGCTTCTTACCCCTCAGACAGCATGAACCGTAGGAATGCCACTTTCTATTAGTTCAGTACTCTACAGCAGTTCTGTGAAGCAGGAAGCACAAAAACATCTATCCCAGCAAATGAGAAACAGTTAGGTAACTTGCCTAAGTTTCCTAAGTTACAACTAGAAATGGAGCTAGTACCCCAGTTCCTGCGACTCCTGGGTGGCCTCGCATTAGGTCACACTGGGCCGGCGCATTGGCCGGGGCCACTGGAAGACTTCCATTCATGTTTCCTAGCCCTTTTTTCAAGTCAAAGCCTCACCTCTGGGCGCACAGGATCCTCAATGCCCACCACTGCAATACAGGTCAGTTCAGTGAGGATTTCGCTCTCATTGTCCCAGGGTGGCTCTCCGTCATTGAAATCCCGGTAAGCTATGCAGATAGTCCGGAGTCCCTCACTGGCCATGGGCTCGATGACGGTGCGGACCATCTCATCTCGGTCCTTATTCTTGAATGGCACTGCTTCCCCTTTCTTGTCCAGGATTCGATTACACCTGGTGGGGCACACAGTGGGCCCACAGTCAGAAAGCAGCATCCCCGCTATGTGCTTGCACAGTCATTTACAGACATTCTGGCCACTCTGCATTACTCCTAAAGACACTGTTGTGTGGCCATAAATCTCCACTCATAACCCAAAGCTGAGCCCCTTTTTCCAAGGTGGGGTGGCCAGTAGGTGGGTAACGTCTAGGTGGGCAGAGCATTTGATTCTCCCATGTTGTCTGCTCCTACTCTTATGTGGATACAATATCAAGGGTCATTTGTGGATTGCCTGCTCCTTTGAGCTTCACAAAGGTAGAGACACTTTCTCAGTCCTCAGTATCTAGAATGCTCAGTGCAGAGGGTGTTCTCAACAAGAACGTGTCACTCGAAAGGGGGTGGCTAAAGCCAAGCTGGGGCACTGTTTTTTAGCTACTGGCTCTATATCCACGTAGGCGATCCATGTAGGTCACCTTTTAATGACCTATGGATCATCTAGCCACTTTGATTATGCAACTTCATGTGACCAGAATTGAGAATAAAAAGGAAAAGGGAACGCAGAACTAACATTTCTAGTATCAGTACTTGCTATGTGCAAGGCATTTTACATACATTGAATCACTAAATCAGAGTAACCCTGAGAGATGGGTGGGTATTATTATCTCTTTTCAGAATAGGAAATGGAAGTTTGGATTGCCTAGGTCTGAACTGTGGCTGTGCCACTAAGAGCTGTATCACTTCCAGCAAGTTACTGAACTTCCCAGCACCTCTGAATTCTCATCTGTAAAACAGGGATAATGACAGCATCTACCTCGCTGAGCTGTGAAGAGTAAGTACAGTATCCAAAGTACTTAACAGCAAGGCTTGGCCTGAACCAAGCTCAGATGTTAGTCATGATGTCACCGCCTGGAAGGAGGGTTCACTCATCATCCAGGTGGATTCAGCGTGAGGCCTGGCACCCTGACCTCCCTGAGGGGAGGATCCTGAAGGGAGGAAGAAGCGGGGGAGGGGCGCTCACTTGCGCAAGATGATCTCAGAAGCACCCTTGCTGTACATGCGGTAGCCACTGTGAGGCTTCTCGATGACGGTGCTCATGGACTTGCGCACCGAGTTGAAGGTGTACACCTTGTAGAGCTTCTCCTCGGGCACCTCACTGCGCACGGCATGGTAATCCTGCTTCAGGTCCGTGACGAAGCCCAGTAGGGCACACTCGGTCTTGTTGCCCACCTGCCGCGGCAGGCCACCCTCCTTCTCCGGAGGCTGAGAGGAAAAACACACGAGGGAGTGTTGGGTGAGGTGCCGAAGCTGGGGAGAGAACCTAGGAAGGGAAGGACTCCGCTCGAGGTTTTCACACATGTACCCAGGGCCCGTGGGGGTGCCGACTGTGGTCCCTGAGCCACCCAGGGCTTGGGGATTTTTTAGTTGCCCTGGGGGTGGTGCTGGTGTCTCACCCTGTGTGGGTCTTATTCTAACACTCTCTCTTAGTTTCTAGAAACTGAGTAATTTACTCCTGACCAACATGGGGTCTCTTTTTATTTATTTCTTTTTATTTTTTTAAGATTTTTTGATGTGGACCATTTTTAAAGTCTTTATTGAATTTGTTACAATATTGGTTGTGTTTTTTGTTTTGGTTTTTGGTCCCTGAGGCATGTGGAGGGATCTTAGCTCCCCGACCAGGGATCAAACACACACCCCCTTCATTGGAAGGCGAAGTCTTGACCAGTGGACTGCCAGAGAAGTCCCAAGATCTTTTTAGAGATACTACCTTTACCTGGTGATTGGAGGTCATTTCATAGCCATAGATTCTTACCTGCCTCCCCCTATCTATTCCCACGGATTATTTCCTAGTTTCACCCCAAACATGTTCACTGGGGAGTGGGAAATGGGATGTGGGATGGCAATTCAGGCAGAATAAACAAGAGAAAATGAATGGTTCCCTCCACCTACCCATTTTAAGTGTCCTGGCAAAGGAAACGCTTACCAGAACCTTGGAGGTGTAGGCACTGTTGATAGAAATACCATTGACAATAAGGTCCAGGACCTTGGGCACGAGGACGTCAGGGCTTGGGATTTGATGGTAACGGGTTTCTCCGATATAAGCCTGCACCACAGTCATGCGGTTCATGGTCAATGTGCCTGTCTTATCAGAGCAGATGGCTGTGGCATTGCCCATTGTTTCACAAGCATCCAAGTGCCGTACCAGGTTATTGTCTTTCATCATTTTCTACAAAGGAGAAGAGAAAAGACTTCCCAAATACAGGTCAAAGCCCATTTCCTAGCCAGCATCTCTCCACATTTCATTCTCTGGTCCCACACAAAAATGCAGGATACCTTTTTTGTAAACACTCTTAAGATTCTACTGGGTTACTTAAATGTTGATGCAACTGATCCAGATGGTCCTTCCAAAGTGCCAGTGGCTTCTGCTCCTGAAGGCATCACCCAGAGTTTATGAAGACAGAGTGGCCCATTCTTTCACCAGAAGCTACATGGTACCCTCCCCTCCGGTCTCTGTTCTGAAAGAAGACACAGTTTCATTCCAGTCTCACCTTCACAGAGTAAGCCAGTGAAATGGTGACTGCCAGTGGCAGCCCCTCTGGCACAGCCACCACCAGCACAGTGATGCCAATGATGAAGAACTTGACAAAGTACTGGACGTAGATGGGAGTACACTCAGCCAGCCATGGTCTGCGCTGTATCACAAAGTTGTCGATCACAAAGTACAGAATCAGGATGAGAACTGTGATTGCAGACATGATCAGACCTGTCCAGGAAACAAGTCAAATGAACCCAGGCTTCAGGGTATTCCTAGGGCCCTAGCCAGAGATGGATTGGCATAAATTGTAGCCTTTGCTATCCATTTTTAAAATGACTATCTAAGTCATACCCAAAGCCCCTATCCATTCTCTGGTGCTTGTACATTACAGTGTAGGGGAAAGAGGTGGCTTTGCATTCTAAAGACATGGGTGCTATTCTCAGCACTGCACCAACTTGACTTGTGGCTTCAGACTGGTCTTGACCCTCTCTGGGCCTATTTCCTCATTCATAAATAAGAGGATTGGTCTAGTTTTCTAAAATAGCATTCTATGATTCTATCTCAGACCTACTCTCTTCCTACAAATCATAACGTAGTGACTATAGGTGCCTATTTCCTAGTAGTTCATCAATTTTAACTTCTTCCCTAAGTAGCCTGAGAATGTCAGGCAATTCACAACTTGTTCACAGTGTTGCTCCTATGGTGTTAGCACATCACCTACATAACTAACCCTTAGAGCGGTGCTTCCCAACCTTTCTCCTGACATGGCATAGACAGAAGATGACAATAATAACAACTATTAATATAGTGCTTACTATGAGTCAGGCAAGCACCTCACAGGTATTAACTCATTTAATCCTCACAACAATCCTGTGAGATGTTACTATTATCATCCCCTTTTATGTGTCTCTCTAAGGCACAGAGAGGTTTCGGTATGGCACACTGGAGGGGGACCAACCATCCTGGTTTGCCTGCGACTGAGCAGTTTCCTGGGCTGTGGGACTTTCAGTGCTAAAACTGAGAAAGTGTCAAGCAAACTGGGATAGTTGGTCATCCTACATATCCTACAGGGGAAGAATCTGCTCAAGATCAGAAAACAACTGGTCTAGGGGTTCCAACTGCCTTGGGTGCTGCCTGGCTGCTCTGAGGGCTGAGGGGATCAGTATTTGGGCATCTGTATCTACCTGTGGCACAATATCTGGGAAAAGTTCCACTTCAAATCATAGTTTGATTTGTGTCTTTGCTTTTCCTGAGGGCCCAGTGATTCAGAGGGATCAGAACAAGGCTAGAGGTGATTGTATCATTGAAAGCATATTCTTTTGTACTTTGCTTCATCAGGGTCAGGCCTAAGAGGTGAGGCAAGCAAGGCACCTAGGCTGCAAAATTTAAGGAGGCATTCACTCTCAGGGTGGTGCAAGGCACCTCACTTGCTTCCCCCTGGTCCTTGATCTAGATGATATGTGTAATGAATAAACAGAGGAGACCAGTGGCTAGCCCTCAGGTAGCTTGTACTCCCTAAAGAATAAGCTAGGGATTAGGAGCACAACAGTAGGATCTGTTTAATGTTTCAAATCCATGTGCCAGGCTCAGCAATTTGATTCCACACTTGCAATTTATCTCATCTGTGTAGTGTTTTTTTTAAAAAATTAATTAATTAATTAATTAATTTTTGGCTGCATTGGGTCTTCGTTGCTGCGTGCAGGCTTTTTCTAGTTGCGGCGAGCGGGGGCTACTCTTCGTTGCGGTGCGTGGGCTTCTCACTGCGGTGGCTTCCCTTGTTGCGGAGCACGGGGCTCTAGGTGCGCGGACTTCAGTAGTTGTGGCACGAGGGCTCTAGAGCGCAGGCTCAGTAGTTGTGGCGCACGGGCTTAGTTGCTCCGCGGCATGTGGGATCTTCCCGGACCAGGGCTTGAACCCGTGTCCCCTGCATTGGCAGGCGGATTCTTTACCAGTGCGCCACCAGGGAAGTCCCTCATCTGTGTATTGTTTATATGCAAGAGACTTCCTGGTGGTCAAAATTAGCTAGGTACTAGGACTGGATGAATAGGACAGACTGACACTCTATAAAACTCTCTGTGGTGCTTAAAATATTCTCTATTTGCACTGTCCAATATGGCAGCCAGTAGCCACATGTGGTTACTGACCAACTGAAATAGGTTAATGTGACTGAGGAGCTGAATGTTTAACTATATCTAATTCTCATTAATTTCATTAATTTTCATTAATTTAAATGGAAACAGCCACACATGGTTAGTGGCTGCAGTAGTGGATAGCACAGATTCTTGCTATTCAATGTGTGCTTAGCAGAGCAGCAAGCACTGCCATCACCTGGGGGATGGTTAGAAACGCAGAATCTCAGGCCCCACACAGAGACGTACTGGACTAGACTCTGACTGTAGTAAACAGAGAGGTGAGGTCAGCAAATAAACAGTGGAAAAAGACTGTAGTTTAAGGGATATGTGCGCTGAAGGAGCCACCTTCCTTTGTTCCCTCCTCTAAATCCCCAGCCCCACCCCGCCACTGAAAGAAGGCAGGAGACAGGAGAGTGCAGAGGCAAGCGATGGAGAAGGTGCTTCCTCTCAAGATGCACAGGAGTGCCTTTACTGACCTCTGCTCTGCAAGGCGCCTCTTTAATCACTGTCTTCCTTTTCCCTCCAGTCCTTATTCGGAACTGATTACTCTATGCCTGGCCATTCCTGTGCTAGGGAATTGCCCTCAGCAAACAACAGCCTTCTCTACCGTTAAGGAATTTACAAGCCAATACACAAGCAGGTGAGTAGCTATTAAGGTCTTCCTTCTTGCTAACGTGAATCTCCCATTTGTTTGCGCCTTTAACCCTAACACACAGGAAAACATCTCTCTCTGCAAAAGCTAAACAGTCGCAGAGAGAGACACAGCTACCTGGACTGCACTAGCCACTTGGAATTTTCAGCTTCTTTCTGCCAGACCTGGTTGGTGTAGAAAGAAGGCAATCAAAGTAGTGAGGATCCAGAATAGCACTGATAAACAAACCAAGAAGGCTCCACCCTACTCACCAGCTTTCCCAATCTGTACAGCCAAGCGCGTCAGCTTGCCCTGCAGCACCGACTTCTCCTTTTTGGGCAGCTTGGCTGCCTTTTTCTCCTTTTCCTCATTGTCGATCCCCTCCTGGCTGTTGAGTGGCTGGATTTCCAAGGCCACTCCATCCTGAGTCTTTGCTAGGGTGCACACACAAATAGGACAGGTAAGCAGGCAAGGTAGTAGCACTGAGTAGCAGGCAAGTGGAAACTAACAAATCCTTCTGTCTTATTCCTGGAATATACCTTGGACCCCTGACATCAGATCTGACCACCCTCACCCCATGCCAGACAGGGAACTTGACTTTGACCCTCTATTAGGGCTTTTGGAATGATATCTTAACAACTGGAGGTGAAATCTCGTGCTTTTAGGGTATGGATTTCCACTTCAGTGGCAGCTTCCTGGCACTACCTCAGAGTCCCAAGCCAGGTTTATTCCAGCAAGAGGATTAGTCATGTCACTAAGTGCTATTACCAACAACCATCCTTCCCGGAATTCAGTGCTTAATACAGTGAATCTTTACTGCAGAAAGGGGCTGAAGGGGAAGGCTGGTAGATATTCCTAGAGCATAAGGGTCCTAGTCAGCTCTTTGAAAGGTTCATCTCGCTCTCACTATATCTTTATCTATATCTATATCTATATCTGCTATATCAACTGTCAAGGAAGAAACACGGACCACAGACACAGGGTATTTTCCAGTTCCCTCTCGTATTAGTTGAATGATAGGAGAAGGAAATCTCTTTTCTCCCCTGTCTGATGAAGGTAGGGAGGTACAGAGTGGGACCTAGGGGAAAAGGGAAGAAGCTGGTGTGAGGGACTCCCTGGAATGAGAGAAAGCCCGGATAAAGACAGACATATAAATCCACTTTGCTTTAAAAAGAAGAGTTAAAGAAATCTAAAATTAAAGAATTATTTTTGTGGAGCCCTGGTTCTCCGACATGATGCCTTTATTTCTAAAAACTACTATGATGTGGGTTACAAAAGGAAAAAATCTCTAGGAGCTGTCTCAAGAGAGCAGTTCTTGCTGGTTCCTGGCACCCCTCCAATTTCACCCCTGCAGAGCTCAACCCCTTCGGTTAGATGCCCTTCCTGAGATACTGTCTCTGCTGTCAGACTCACAAACAAGACAGAGACAGGATGTAAACACAGCCACCAAAAAAGCAACACACATCAGATTAGGAGGAAGAAAACAGACCGTGGAGAGAACAAAGAAAGAGGTGGGGAGTGAGGTTACAGAGAAAGGGCTCTCTCCACCCCCGAGAAGACTAGCTGAGAAGGAATCCAGATCAGAAGAGGACACCGATGAGGAAGCCAACAGAGGAGGGTGCAGGGACTGCCCATCCCAACTCCTTCCACCATAAGGACCCTGAAGTCTTCCAACCCAGAAACCGATGACCGTTGTTGTTTAAATCTGGCCTAGGGCAGTGAAGCAAAGAGTTCAGCACCCTGGGAAGCAGATCAATCTCACAGGCTCTCCAAGATTGACATGAGGTTCCTTGAGCCAACAGCAGAGGATGCTGTTGTCCCATCTTAGATTGGGTTTGAGAGCTTGAGACCACCCCCAAATCTCTGCACCTTCCTCAGAATAAGGCATCTGGGCCACAGCAGCAGATAACAAATTTATGGAGAGGAAAAGGGAGGAGGCAGATGGCCTGGGAAGGCCTGGTTTGAGTGTGGGCAGGTAGAGATGGTAAATGAGTGGGTGGAAAGGTTACCTTTGTTGCGATTTTCAGGGACTCCTTGTTTTTTACCTGTTTGAACAAGAAAGAAAAAAATGGGGTGGAGACCCAAAGTGACTATTAAGAGATCAGATATCCAATGTTTCGGTCCTGCTCAGAGCCCAAAAGGGCAACAGCAAAGGGGCTGAGTTGCAGAAAAGGGAATGTAAAGGAAGCTCACATCTGTTTACCTCCACTTTCATTAGGGGCTCTCATGAATCCTTGGGTTATGGACCAGGCCACTCATGCAGGTGAGTGCACACCCACTTCTGAGCTGCTTTCTCCTGGAGCACAGCTGCTGTTGGGAGGGTGCTCCCGGCCTGAGTCACACCACTTTGAGAAATGGGGTGGGGGTTAGGAAGCGAGAGGTTTGAACTGTTTCTGCCTGGTGGCAAAGGCCCTGCAAGGTGCCTCCGTGTCAGTTTACCAGCGCCAAGCAAGCGTCCTCCTTATTCACTTGCTGGCAGCTGCAGAAACGGATAGTCTAGTTCCTGAGTGAATGTGTTTTGTCTCCTTCTCATTAACTCCCCTTCCCTAAACAGCCCAAGAAGGTCCTCCAGCCAACTGGTAGAAATCCTTCTCTCCTCCAAGGGAAGAAGGAATTCTTAAGGGAAAGGTGTAGATATGGTTTGCTATCTTTTTTGCCTTCTGTTTTTCCTTCTTTCAGGAGCAAGTGAATGGCAAAGACAGGGCTAACTTCGGGGTAGACACTCTCTCTCTGTTCCCACTCTCCTGGCTGTGTCTCTCTTCCACTGACAGCCCATAGTTTCAGGA